CAATGGAAGCCCCATAGTATGCCTATGAGTGAGGTCACCGGCCAGGCATTCTATCTATTGTCGGCACTCTCTGCTCTGAAGCTGGCCAGGAGATCACACAACTGGACCGAAGCACCCTGACGATAGGTAAGTATAAGCCTGTTCCTTATACAGTGTAGTTGGAATGGGAGAGAGAGGGCGGGTAAGAGCAGTTTTAGGCTTAGTTAGAGCCTGGAATTCAACTTTAAAGAGGACCTGAACTGTGGAAGACAGCGCCGGTCACTATTGTTTCCCCACTTAGCTAGGCTAGCACACACAATTCTGTATCTTCCCTCCTTCATACCACAGACGTGTAAGTTTTCCAAATTTGATAATTCAGCGGGCAGGTGGCATTTGCATGTTCTGCCAGCATCTAACATCTGCAGGAAGTTTTAGGTAGGCTTTTCTGCTTGCAATGCAGCTGATTTTAGCCTCACTCGTGATAGTTGGGCATTGTGGCTCAATAAACAAGTGATAATAAGACTTTTGTAAGTAAGAAGTGTTGTTCAGAGTGAAAGCAGAATCTTGTGCTCTTTTCTAAGAGCTCATTCACTCTTGAACATATAATATATGTCTTACGCATGTACTGAAAATATGTAGAGACCCTTCAAATGATTAAGTGTAGGCGTTTCCAGGGAAGGGTACTGTTAATGCTATGGCATATAGAGGTTTTAGACAATGTGCACTTTCTAGCTTGGTATGACAGCTTAGGGAAGGCTCTATTTTGTTCCAGTATGACTGTGCCCTTGTGTACAAAGCCAGCTCCATAAAGACGGGGGTGTGGTGAGGTCGACTGGTCTCTTTATCAAATGCTCTTTTGGCTGAATGATCATGAATTCCCGTAGACACTATCCAATATCAGGTGGAAGGGTGAAGGCTGTTAAAGTGGTTGTAAACTCTTACATACTGTATACCCAGTGAAGTGAGCAGCCTCCGGTGATACACAAAGGTGAAACAAATCCTCTTACATACGTTGTACCTGTTTATGCGCAGCTACCTTTCTCCTACATACAGTCAAGTGCAGAATTTACAAAGGATCTCTCTGCTCTGAAAGCAGGGGGTGGGCAGTCGAAGTTACATCCGTGAGGAGAGTTCTGAGAGCTGATTGGAGGAAAGAGACACACCCCCTTTCACACAGCGCAGAAGAACAGAACTGAGGCTGTCAATCACATGCTGTGCCCTTCCTTGTCACCATTTTTCCTTTGGTGTCAGGAAAACTCATCAGAAGTGACTCATGCTTATAGCACAGGAACAAAGCATCAGACAGAAATGACACTTAGTGCTCTAGATTGAGATAAGTACACACTATAGAGGGATATGCTTTATAATTCATGTCTAAAGGTTTACAACCAATTTAATGCTAAAATGAGGAAACTATGCGAGTGCAAAATAAGAACAGCAGCTGGCATGAAAGGTAAACCTCTAGACCTCCAACTAATGCAATAAAGTATAAATGCAGCGCTAAAAAATAAGTAACAACAATAATAGATGGTACAAAGTGAGCGCTAATGCAGCGCTTATAAAGTGGTATCGTGATGAATCGTCTCTTAATGACGCATCAGAAAATATATATAAAGTCAATATATAAAGTGACTGTAGTGCATCATAAGAAAGAGAAATGCAAACCAAGTACAGATAAATTGGTGATCTATGCTCCGTGCTGTTCAAGGGAACTTTGATAACGTGCTGGTGCATGAAATGCGTCAGAGGGGAGCCTACCAGAGTGACGTCACGCCGCAAGGAAGGCCGGCGGCCATTTTACTTGATCCCAGATACATGTGCGTGCTTTTCTATTACATATTTTGCTGGAGTCTTAATAAAAATACTACACTATCAGTACCTATCTGTCTCTGGCTTGTGATATGCGCGCCCCTAAGGTGGAGATATATCCCCCAACTTCTGATGCTTCTGATCTGGTGGTCTGATGATAATGTGGAGCTGTCCCTGGGATACTTCTGATCTGGTGGTCTGATGATCATGTGGAGCTGTCCTTGGGATACTTCTGATCTGGTGGTCTGATGATCATGTGGAGCTGTCCTTGGGATACTTCTGATCTGGTGGTCTGATGATAATGTGGAGCTGTCCTTGGGATACTTCTGATCTGGTGGTCTGATGATAATGTGGAGCTGTCCTTGGGATACTTCTGATCTGGTGGTCTGATGATAACGTGGAGCTGTCCCTGGGAGCAGAGTGTGTCCTGTGAGGGAGTAGTGTTACCCTGTGTGCCTGATGACCCCACAGCCCCTGCCCAGACCTTGATGACCACTGGTGGAGAGATGTATATACACATACGCATATCTTTTGAGCTTCTGGTGAGTGCATTCATATTACTGGCCCTCACCATAGAGATCACCAGCATGGATCACCAATTTATCTGGACTTGATTTGCATTTCTCATTCTTCTGATGCATTACAGTCACTTTATATACAGTTGCAAGAAAAAGTATGTGAACCCCTTGGGATTACGTGGAGTTTTGCATGAATTGGGCATAAAATGTGCTCTGAACGTCATCTAAGTCACAACAATAGAAGAACACAGTCTGCTGAACATAATACTACACAAACATTAGATGTTGCCATGGTTTAATTGCACATAACATGTAAACATTCACAGTGCAGGGAGGAAAAAGTATGTGAACCTTTGGACTTAATAACTGGTTGACCCTCCTTTTGGCAGCAATAACCTCAACCAAACGTTTCCTGTAGTTGCAGATTAGACCTGCACAAGGATCTGGAGTAATTTTGGACCACTGCTCTTCACAAAACTGTTTCAGTGTAGCAATATTCTTGGGATGTTTGGTGTGAATCGCTCTTAAGGTCATGCCACAGCATCTCCATCGGGTTGAGGTCAGGACTCTGACTGGGCCACTCCAGAAGGCGTATTCTGTTCTGTTGCAGCCATTGTTTTGTTGAATTACTTGTATGCTTTGGGTCATTGTCCTGTTGCATCACCCATCCTCTGCGGAGCTTCAGTTGGCGGACAGATGGTCGTACGTTTCCCTGCAAAATGTCTTGATAAACTCTGGAATTCATTTTCCCATCAATGACAACAATCCGTCCAGGCCCTGAGGCAACAAAGCAGCCCCAAACCATGATGCTCCCTCTGCCATGTTTTACAGTGGGGATGAGGTTTTGATGTTGGTGTGCTGTGCCTTTTTTTTTCTCCACACATAGTGTTGTGTGTTCTTCCCAAACAACTCAATCTTGGTTTCATCTGTCCACAGTATATTTGCCAGTAGTGCTGTGGAACATCCAGGTGCTCTTTTGCAAACTTCAAACATGCTGCAATATTCTTTTGGGACAGTAATGGCTTCCTCCGTGGTGTCCTCCCATGTACTCCATTCTTGTTTAATGTTTTCCTTATTGTAGACGTGTCAACAAAAATGTTAGCATGTGCCAGAGATTTCTGTAGGTCTTTAGCTGACACTCTGGGATTCTTCTTTACCTCATGCAGCATTCTGCGCTGTGCTCTTGCAGTGATTTTTACAGGACGACCACGCCTAGGGAGAGTAGCAACAGTGCTAAACTTTCTCCATTTGTAGACAGTCTGTCTTACCGTGGACATATGAACATCAAGGCTTTTGGAGATACTTTTGTAACCCTTTCCAGCTTCATGCAAGTCAACAATTCTTGATCGTAGGTCTTCTGAGAGCTCTTTTCTGCGAGGCATGGTTCACATCAGACAGTGCTTCTTGAATCCAGTAAACCCAAAACAGGTGTGTGTTTTTTAAGGGCAGGACAGCTGTCAGCAACACATCCAAAATCATCACACTGATTGGAGTCAAGGTTGGTTCACTCCTGGCTCCAATTAGCTCTGGGAGAAGTCATTAAGCTAGCGCCTCACATACTTTTTCCTCCCTGCACTGTGAATGTTTACATGTTATGTGCAATTAAACCATGGCAACATCTAATGTTTGTGTAGTATTATGTTCAGCAGACTGTGTTCTATTGTTGTGACTTAGATGACGTTCAGAGCACATTTTATGCCCAATTCATGCAAAACTCCACGTAATCCCAAAGGGTTCACATACTTTTTCTTGCAACTGTATTGACTTTATATATATTTTTCTGTTACGTCATTAAGAGACGATTCATCACGATACCATTTTATAGGCACTGCACTAGCGCTTACTTTGTACCATTTATTATTATTGGTACTTATCATTTTTTAGCGCTGTTTTTAGCAATTTAAAGCTGCAACCAGGGCAGAGGGGGAAAAAGGGGGGGGGGGGGTTGACTTGAAATTAATGCCCATGGTTTGGGAATGGCATGTTTAACAAACTCATATAGGTGTGATGGTCAGGTGACAGAAAACTTTGTGCAATATGCCATAATGTGTATTGCATTAGAAATGTGTTTTTAATGTACTGCATTGCTTTTTAAACCCCCCCCCCCCTTTTTCCCTCAGTTGAGTGATAAAAATCAGGTCTGCCCACCAAATTGTAACGTGTGTCCAGCATGTGACAATGTAGCACTCTAATGGAAACAGGCTCCACTAAAAAAAAAAAAAATAATGTATTTTCTCATGTCTGTGGATTTGCCTGCCTTAGAAATTGCAGCAACATTCCCGAAAGCACATCTACATCCAGATAACCATCACAGCATTTTGTGTTTTTTATAGCTGTAATATTTTCTTTTTCAAAAATATGATTTAACTATACTGTGTATGTAATATGAGTTGTTTTTTTTACTAGTTTGTAGATCCTAAAATTCCTAAAACACAGTCCTATAACATCTGTTTCACTGCCCTGATCTGAACTAACCTACAGTATGTACCCAATTTTGTTGCTTGTTTTCATGGTCATGATTATTTTTTTTTAATTGATGCTGCTTTAGTGGGGTTCCCAATACAGAAGTCTTTGCTGAACTAGTGTTTGCATAATGGATATCTCCAGGATATGTGCAAATGTCACCTGTACGGTTTTGGTTTTACCCTGTTAACTGCGTTTTAATAATGAGGGGTTTTGTTTTTTTATCCATACAGGAGACGTCTGATCTCTCAGCGGTCTTCACTAGAAACCCTTGAAGACATTGAAGAAAATGCTCCCTTGCGGAGGTAATTTAAAAAAAAATCTATTGTATTAGCATTTAAAAATAACTTTTGGTTTTGTGTGGTTGCTGGTAGATTGAATGAACATGCTGTGTTCTTGGTGACTCCAGTGGCAGTCATCATCCTAGGGATGGCCTTTAAGTTACTTGTGAGTTGTATTTTGTATGGTGTTTATTGGATATGTATTAAATTTAACTTAAGAAAATGATTGAAGTGAAAGTCTCAGGTATTGGTATTTTGTTTATGGGTATGGGCTTGTTTGCTTCCTTTTGCGAAAGCAATGGTAAAATTAAACTTTATTTACTTCAAGTATTCTTGGTATTTTTGGTACTTTTAACCACTTGCCTACCGGGCACTTATACCCCCCTTCTTTACCAGGCCAATTTTCAACTTCAGCACTGTCACACTTTGAATGACAATTGCGCGGTCATGCAAGATTGTACCCATATGAAATTTTTATCATTTTTTTTCTCACAAATAGATCTTTCTTTTGGTGGTATTTAATCACTTTACTTTTTGCGCTATAAACAAAAAAATTGCAAAAAATTTGAAAAAAAGTTTCTTTTTTCTATTATAAAATTTTTCAAACAGGTAATTTTTCTCCTTCACTGATGTGCATTGATGAGGCAGCACTGATGGGCACTAATAGGCGGCACTGATGGGAACTGATAAGCAGCACTAATGAGGTGTCACGGATAGGCGGCACTGATAGGTGGCACTGACTGGCGGCACTGATAGGCATTGACTGGCACAACTGCTGGGTACTGACTGGCACAACCACTGGGCACTGACTGGTGGCACTGACTGGCAGCACTGCTGAGCTGCACCGGTGGGCACATGTGGTTGGGCACAGGTGGGTGGCACATGCAGAAATAGCTTTTGTCTATCAAGAGTTTCAATCTTGCCTATCCAGCTTATTTAAGAGACTAGGTTAACAACTGAAGACAACGGGAATGCACCACAGAACTGTACCAAACATGGCTATTGCTGTGACATGGTAGGTCAATGTAAAATCTCCCTTGAGCTTGATCAAACAGGGATGCAGGGGGTGGCAGTATCGCCTCATTAACCACTTGCCCTCCTGAGGATTTACCCCCCTTAATGACCAGGCCTATTTTTGCTACTCGGCGCTGCACTAATTCAACTGATAATTGCGCGGTCATGCAACGCTGCACCCAAACAAAATTTATGTCCTTTTTTCACACAAATAGAGCTTTCTTTCGGTGGTATTTGATCACCTGTGCGCTTTTTATTTTTCACGCAATAAACAAAAAAAGACCAAAAATTTTGAAGAAAAATGATATTTTTTACTTTCAGCTATAAAAAAAGTATATAGTAAACTCAAAATTAGTTATAAATTTAGGCCAAAATGTATTCTGCTACATGTTTTTGGTAAGAAAAAATCCCAATAAGTGTATATTGATTGCTTTTTGGGAACGTTATAGCGTCTACAAACTATGGTATAGATACTGCAATTTACGCCATTTTCTTGCTATATAGCGCTGCGCTAGTTTAACGGACAATTGTGCGGTCATGCAATACGGTACATAAATGAAAATTTATGTCCTTTTTTTCACACAAATAGAGCTTTATTTCGGTGGTATTTGATTGCCTGTGCGGTTTTTATATTTTTTGCGCTATAAAAAAAAAAGGCTGACAATTTTGAGAAAAAACAATATTTTGTACTTTTTGCTATAAAACATGTCCAGTAAAAAAAAATTTAAAAATCAAATTTCATCATAAATTTCCGCCAAAATGCATTCTGCGACATGTCTTTGCTAAAACAAAACCCAATCCGTGTAAATTAATTGTTTTACGTGAAAGTTATAGCGTTTACAAATGGCGGGAGAGATACTTGGATTTTTAATTTTTTTTATACTAATAATGGCGGCGATCAGCGACTTATGGCAGGACTGCGGGACTGCGGCGGACATTCTGACACTGGGAGGGAACTGACTTAGGGTCACTGACATCCCCAGTGACACCAATACAGTAATCAGTGCAAAAAAAAAAAAAAAACACTGACACTGTACTAATGGCACTGGGGAGGAAGGGATTAACTTTTTTTTGCAGTGAAAGGGTTAACTGTGTGAGGGGAGTGTTTTACTAGGGGGCGGGGGTGTGTACTGCAGGGAGACATGCTGATCGGGACAGAGAAACTCTTTTCTCCTGGTCAGCTTGTCAGGAACTGTCAGGGAACTGACAGAAAGCAGAGCTACTGCAGCCCTGCTCTCTGTCACTGATTGCCGCTAATCACCGAGACACAGCTGATAATAACCGGCTGTTACCCGGCGACTGACACTTGCGGCTGAGATCGGCGGTAAAGGTAGGGCGGCGGCGCACCTCGCGCGCGCCCCCTACCTGTTTTGAAACAGCACGTTTTAAAACGTGCTTTTGCCCAGCCGTGCCGCCCTGCCACCGTTTTTATACAGTGGCTGGGCGGCTGGTTGTTAATGCCTGTAAACTGGTTGTCAACTGTAATCCTTTCAGAGGACAGAAAGGCTTGCCACCAGTGTGGGAATACATAATGTTGCTTTACTTCATAGTCATGTTGTAAGCTCCTGATTAATTGATTGGCTTGCTTTCGTGAAAGTGTACGGTAACATGTTTCAAAAGTGTTATTTCCCCTCATTTTTTAGGAATTTTGCACTTCACTTCAAATCATGTCTATAGAACAGGACGTAAGGGGAAATCTCTCTGAAGTGGATACTGCCAACCCTGACACAAGTTCTAATTGTTCCCAACTATGCAATTTAACCACTTGCCTACTGGGCACATATACCCCCTTCCTGCCCAGGCCAATTTTCAGCTTTCAGCGCTGTCACACTTTGAATGACAATTGCGCAGTCATGCAACACTGTACCCATATGAAATTTTTATCATTTGTTTCACACAAATAGAGCTTTCTTTTGGTGGTATTTAATCATTGCTGGGTGTTATTTTCTGCGCTATAAGCAAAAAAAAGCAAAAACGTTTTGCAAACAGGTAATATTTCTTCTTCACTGATATGCATAGATGAGGCTGCACTGATAAGCTGGCACTGATGTGCAACAATGATGGGCACTGATGGGCAGCACTTATGGGTGGTATTGTTGGGTGGCACTGCTGGGTGGCACTGCTGGGCACTGCTGGGTGGCACTGCTGGGCACTGGTGGGTGGCACTGCTGGGCACTGATCATCAGTTCCCTGATGATTGGTGCCGATCCGTCCTCTGACAGTTGCCGGTTATCGGCAGTACTTTCCTCACGCCGTGACAGCGTGAGGAAAGTGCAGCTGATAACCGGCAACTGCAGTTACTGGTGATCTGCTGTGTCTTTGGACACAGCTGATAACGTGGCAAAAGGCTGCTGTGATTGGCCTTTTACCACATCATGTGATCAGCTGTGTCCATAGGACATAGCAATCACTGAGATCGCCGGGAGGGCGTGTTCTGGGAGGACGTTGTATGACTCCCTCCCATGACTGGACAACTGCACTGTAGCCATCATTCGGCTATAGCGCGGTTGCAAAGTGGTTAAAGAAATGCTCTAAGTAGAATATTGGCCAGTGTATAAAATAGCTTCATTTTAATTGGTGCACTAAATTATAATTTGGATCATTGATTCTCAACTTCAGTCCTTGGTCATCAACATGACATAATTTCAAGTTTTTTTCAATAAAATCATGGAAAAATACGCTTTTAATTAAGTAAGATGTGCTTTCACCTGAAAGTCTAAAGAGCACTCACTGTTGGTCAGATTTGCACAACTAGCTTTCAGATCATACATTTCCATAAATTTGGCCTACTGGTCTGGAAACAATGATACTAGGAAAACCAGGAGAACAAATCAAATGTAAAAATGACATGTGGCTCCAGAAACTTTGACTAAAACTAGAGCTCTTGCTCGTAGCATCCAGTCAGGTTTGAGTTTTCATATCATAAGTGTTGACTGAATAAAGGAAAAGCAGTGCTTAGTGCATTCTTTACTCCATTTCTCATAAATTCATGCCTTTGTGCTCAGGAAGGTTCATCTGTGATGTTTTTCATTGGCTGCTCATTTAATTAGGTGCAGTTTGAAAGGTCTGCACTGATGTCCTTGCACTTTATTTTAAATGAATTTGTCTTTTAACATGTGCATTGGATGAGAGGAAAAGACTTTTCCATGAGAAACTATTACAATGTAGGGGAAAGACCTCCTAATTGTTGTCTTGTGTAATTTGTTCAGTGCACTTCTGCTGTCTGAAAAGTGGGTAGACGGCAGCCATTTGTCTGATCTTTCCTTCCTGTCTTTGTGCAGACATGCCAAGAAAGGTCTCACTTCGGGCTTTAATTGCCTTATTTTTCAGATGTCGGACTCTGTCCGGTTCACCCAGACCAAAGAACTTCAAGAAGGTCCATTTTATTAAGAGCATGAGGCAGCACGACACAAGGAGTGGCAGGTAACACTACAAACAAGCACTTCCTCTGTTTGTCAAGACAAACTACAAATTCATTTAATTGTATTTATTTTTTCACCTGCTGATACTTTTTTGTCTACTATTGTATGGACTTCCTTAGTTTATGAAAATTACAAAATGTCGCAGTAATCAAGCCTTGCCTGACAGCAGAAATAAAACCATAAGGCAAATTTTGCTCTCTATATAAAAATAAAGATTTTAAATATTCTTATTATTATTATATAGGATTTATATAGCGCCAACAGTTTACACAGCGCTTTACAAAATATTATTGTGTTTATCAGATTGGAGCTTGTGATTACATCCCAACTGCAAAAATATTGACTTTTTATTGAATCATTGGCATGTACATTCACTGTTTGAAGGAAGTGGCGTGCTTGTTTTAAAAATGCAATTCTGCAAAAACGCTTGGCTTGTATTGTATGCAAATCAGCACTCAAGGTTTTACAAGCTAACAAGTGATTTAGCCCACCAGACTCTAACGCAGGGTATACACATATCAAAATTTGGCCTGTTCAGCAGAAAATGGCCAAGTTTCGATGTGTGTGTATCCCTCTTTATTCAACAGAAGCTTGTCTAGCATCAACTCCTGTTGAACGGTCCTACTGTAAAACCATGTTCTGGTGGGGAAAGGAGGGGACAGTCCCTGCTGTCAGAATACAATAGTGCAGCAGGGGAGATTCCTGCATCCACATCGCTTGTCTGGATGCAGAAATCTGTGAGTTTTTTTTTTTCAACCCCGTTTGAAGAAAAAAAAAAACCTCACTGTGTATTCCCTGAAGGAAAAAAAACTCACTGTGTGTTCCCTGCCTAACTGAAGCATCACTTTTGAGTGCTTTGATCCTTTAACTGCAAGGCATTCCATTTTCTTTAAATAGCACTTTGTCAGTTGTCAAATTTTATGGCAAACACTACTAAGGCAGCTCATAAATGATTTTATTTTTCGTTCACCCAGAGGGTTGAATGGAAAAAAAAAATAAATTCCATCCATGCATTCAATGTGGAGGGGGGATTCTCCCGCTGTGGCTCCGTATTTTGACAGCAAGGAAACTTCCTGGCTATCAGAATACATTGATCACCAGTGCTGGCTATAGCTGATTGAGTGGAAATTTTCAAACAGGGCGGTTCCAAAGAAATCGATTTGGTATATCAACTTCTGTACAACCACCCTGCCCATGCATGGATCGAAAATTGGCCGGTCCCTGCTGAAGCAGCTGAATTTCGATCCATGTATGGCCGGCTTAAATATCTTGCAATTAGTCCAGTGGGGTATGGTCAGTAGAGATGCACAGCAAACTTTCACAACTGTAATTTCAATTGAATTCATTGTTTGATGTCATTTACAGAATAGTCCTCATAAGTGGAAGAAGATCTTTCTGTAGCATATTTTCAGTGTTGCCGTATCGAGACTGTGCTCATGTTGGGTAAGTAAAATCATAGTGTCTTACAATAGCTTTAATCTCTTTTATAAATTGCCAAGTTAAATAGAATTTACTTACTAGTAATGAAAATAGCTGTTACTAATTTTAATTTGCAAACTTAAAACAAATTCTGCAAGACTGTAATATGTACCAAAGTCTTCTACTTCAAGGTACATTTTGAGGTCACGCCTTATATTCATCTTGACATATTGTAACTAGGAAATTTTATATTAATAGGAGATTGTGCTTTTAGCTAGAAGGTGGCTACAAAAGTACTAAATGAAATGAAATGTTATAAACTGGCAGCTAGGACAAACCAAAATATGGCTGCATCTGATTGGATGCTGCCGCTGTTTGGCCAACGATGTTTTGCCCTGCTCTTTCAAATTTTCAATCAAAGGATGTTTGGAATAAAAGGAATAACAGGACAACTGACTATATTGAACAGTCTATCATAAGTATCACAGGCTAGCTATTGCGCACATGTATATCTTACACTGTACTACTGCATTGCAATCACAGGTTTATCACCAAATCTGTATAAATCTTTAGATATTTGGTACTATATATTTATATTTTCTGCAAAGTCAGGTGCAGCTGTTGGTTTTATTCTCCATTTAGGCAAAATTAGAAATAGGAAACGTGGGGAACGTGTTATATCAAGAATAGTAGGCACTTGTGTGCCCATCACTAAGCCTCTCATAGATCTGCTTAGTGGCATGTTCTGTGCGGCTTGGTTGATGTGAACATATAGCTAATGTATGGTAATACCTTTCCTTTTCTCCTTCTGAAGGAACACCATTGTCACCTGCTTACCTAGATTGTCCACCAAGCTTTGCACTGTCACCTGGGGAAGCCCCACATGGCCTGATCCTCATTCAGTACTTAAAGTGTCACTAAACCCAGGATCCTGCATTCACTATATCTGGTCTCCCACAGTACACAATAAGCAGAACATGGAAATGCAATTATTTTTAGTAAATAAAACTGCTAAATACCTTTTCTCATTAGCAGTTAGAACAGTTTTGTGACTTCTGTCAGTGTCCTTCAGAGCACTGGTTAAAGCTTGTGGGAGGAGTTTTCATTCTGCCCTGATTGTCCAGTAAGGCTGCAGAACCCATGACCACCTGTCTGGACAGCACTGATTGTCCCTGTTCTGATCACATGCACTCTCCCAAGAAAAAAAAAACTCTCTAGCAATACACACCAAACTGAGCATGTGCAGCTTGCCCCCAAGGCTCTTTTCTATCAGCAGATGGATGGGGGACAGTAGAAGGGAAGGATCAGAGAAGACATTAAACCCTTAGGTTCCACAGTGAGTATAACAAGCATGCTTTACTTCGTATACACACTGATTTTACTGTTGCGGGTTTAGTAACAATTTAAATCAGGTGCATCGTTTGAGAAGATCAGGTCATTTATGGCCAACCCGAGCAGAGGATGACTATGGTGTCTTCAAGTGGTCAGTGTGTTTACAAACGCTTTTGAAGTTACAACATCTGCATCTGTAAATGTTACAAACTGTTCAGTTATATAAACCAAGTTTTATGTTGGTTTAACCTGCCCTGCAACAGACTAAAGTAAGAAAAATATTGAAACTCTAAACTCAAACACTAATAGACATATACAGAGGCAGACATAGCTGTGGGCAGCTTTGTAAAACAATGGGATATACCTGCAATGTATTATTAATAGATTGTAACATGCACTGACATGTTTTCATCTTATTGTGATTTTTTTATATCCTAATGCCAGAAAGCTTCAAATCAATCTTGAAAATTTGTATATATTAACACCCAATTCTAGACAAAACCTTATTTTTTGGGGTAAATTGTAAAAAGGTCAGAAACTGTCAGGTGTGTATACGGTCTGTGTCTTCACTGGGAAGATTTACCTTGGTTTCTGAATTGTCTCCAATGTAGATAAAAACGGCAATATTTTTGAGGGGGTGTATTTTTCAGTTGAGTGGGAAGAAGTAACTTTTCCCTTCTCTATCCAGATTTTAAAGGATAACTAAACCTAAAAAGAAAAATGCTAAATTTTGCAGCAAATAGTCCTTAGATGTGGTGGCTGCATTTGGTTTCTTTTTTTTTTTTTTCCAAGCTAAGAACATTTTCAAAAAATACCTCTTGATCTTGCCAGAAATGCAGTGTACTTGTCACTTCCTGTTAGCTCTACCGAAGAATACCTTCCTTCCTAGCTGTCTTTTGTAAGGTGCCAATTGCCCTGCCCTCCATGTAATGGAGATAAAGATATGGACAGCCGTGACTTTTCATAGCTATAGTAATAGCGTGACATAGCAACCAGGGACAGGAAGTGTGTTATTTTGCAGCAATGCCAGGTGAAAATAAAGCAAGAGAAGCTTGGAATAAAAAGAAAACAAATGCAATTATCACACTATACATTAGTAACCTGCAAAATATCACATTTTTGGTTTAGGATTAAGGTACACTCTTTGGCTGATGTTCACTTTGCATAGGTTGTTCTGTTATGCCTGTACAGGCTTTCTCAGGGTATGTGTTGTACCCAGTAATAAGTGGACAGATTTGCCTATTGCCTTGTAGAAACTGTAGACATATATTAGAATGTTGTGACTGTGTATATGATAGTCAGCTGAAGGCAGAACACCATTGCAGAATGCCTAGCCTAACTGCTTCACATTTGCAGCCATTGCTTGTTTGCACAGGTATAATTGAAAAAATATTAAATATGATATACAAAGCTGTACCCGTAATGTATGGTAAGAAAAAAAGTGGAGTTCCACCTTTAAAGATAAATTCTAGGAAAAACAAAAGTCCTCCCATGCAGTCGGGCTTCCCCATCCCCAGCACTACAAGGTTTAAATGCACATTTATGTTTAGAGTGCCAGGAAAAGTTTTTTTTTTTTTTGTTTTTTTTCTTTTTAAGAAGGAAAAGGGGAATTTTGATCTGCCTGTAAATTCCATATCTTTCAGTACCGGACACTTGCAAAATGAACTTTGCAAAGTTGCAGCTCAATCTTTGCCAAAGGTATATACCCTCATTGTACCATCATCCCTACTCCTTTCCAACCACTATTATTAATACAAACAAATGGAAAATTAAACATACACAAACCCAATCTTGTCAAATCAATAGTTTATTATTTCTTTTCCATAAAAATAATATCCAAAAAAAATACATATACAGTGGGGAAAATTAATTATTTGATCCCCTGTAGATTTTGTACGTTTGCCCGCTTACAAAGAAGTGAAGGGTCTGGAATTTTTATCATAGATGTATTTTAAATGATAGAGACAGAATATCAACCAAAAATCCAGAAAAAACACAGGATACAATTGTTATAAATGTCATGTACCACATATTCGATCACCTATTCGAACTGCAGATATTGTATCCTCCTTTACTGAAGATGTAAAAACTCTGTGTTTTATGAACACTTTGGGAGAGCGTAGGTTTGAGCTGGACATATAAATGAACTGGCTTTAAAATGTGATGTAAAAGATTGCTCCACAGACACTGGAACTGAGCAAACAACTGGAGGCAACAAGGCAAATTTCTTAATGCCCCTAATGATGTCAAATGTTTTCATTTGTACGATGCCACTCTGACTGCTATGGGCTTCTAACTTCTACATGGCCCCTATTTCACCCTGAATCTGAATATTCAGTCAGTAAAGGTGTTAGGTTGAAATTGTTTCTATCTGAGGCTGCCCAACACATATGCAGAAACTATGCTTGATGACTTAATGATATCACAAAGCTTCTTCTAGATCAACGTCAGTGTGGTGACTTCCAAAGCTGGACTAGACTCCGCTGGTAAAGAGTCCTAGATCTCTTTTAGCCTTCATTTGGCAATGTCTTTCTCTATAGTGCCCTCACCTCACTGGCTACCAGGTGCAGTGGAGAGCATAGAGATTGGACATTCACCCCTGGGCATATCCCTATAACCCTACTTCACTCCATGAGACCTCAGTTTTTTAGAAAGCAATGAAGAGTAATGCAGGAACACCATGAAGTTTGACCTATGTCCTTTACTGTATTTCAAGATATGGAATTTGCCTTCAAGCCTAGGCAAGAATTGAGCAAGGTGGAGAATTTATCTGTCAAAAAATGAACCCTCCTTCCCATTAAAAAAAAAAAATCCAAATTATAAGAGGCAGGGGTGGAGGAGGAGGAATAGCAGCACTTTTCTGCTTTAAGGACAAATTCTGGCCAGGTCGCAATTGTAGGAAGGCCAGAAAACACAGAGAAATCTTGGACTGAAATGCCTGTGTTCACACCAGGCAAAGAAGGATTTTTAGGTTTGATAGTAAATTTTCTGGAAGTGTCTTTTCTGGCTTTGATTAATGTGGGAACAATATAATTAGAGCCACATCTGTCCCTCAGGCTCTGGGATTCAACAGCCATGCTATTAATGCCAGTGCCTGAGGACAGAACAGGGGCGCTGATACAGAGGGTGTGGCCTGTTTGGAGGCCAGAGATCATCTCCTGGAAGTATGAGTATGTCTGTGTACCAGGTTCTGCTGGCTCAGTTTGGTGAAGTGAGAATCACCAGTGTCTTTTCTTACTCTAGTTGACAGAGAATTTGCACTTGAAGATAGCCATATATCGACTGGAACAGAGTCCAGGGAATTTTGAGAGCATCCAATGCCAGTGCTAGAGAATCTTTTGTCCTGGCTACAAACGGGGAACTTGTTGTACCTGGAGGCCAGGATGTCATCATCTGTATTTTCTCATTTCTGATATAGGCGTTTCAAAATGTCAGCATGTTGAGCCTATTCCCATTGGTCCAGATAAGAACGACTAGGGTAATCCACCTTCCAACTGTCCACTGCTGTGAACAGTAGAGAGGGCTAGATAGTGTTTTTCTGCTGATGAGATGATCAGACATACATCCATTAAGGCTGCCGTTCTCCTGCTACCTACTTGGTAGTTGATTAAGGCCACAGTTGTGCCAATGAATGATTGTACACTGATTAGGTGACTCTGAAGGACGGGGGTCCAGTGAAACAAAGCTAGTTT